ACTTCTCCCAGACCCTGACTTATGGGTCTTAACTCTCTGATATGTAATTTCTCTCTTAGGGGGTTCTAAGATGTCAGAGTTGTCTAGAACCACTGAGATGGGGACCATGTGAACAAATAGTGACTTCTCTCTTGCTTATAGTAAAAACATATCAGAACCACATTTATTTGGGAACAAAAATTTTTTTGTGCCTGACTTTGAGCAGTTAGTGGCACACGGACACTGCTGCCTCATCTCCCACTCCCGACGATTCAGGGACAGGAAGCTTGCATGGCGGAGGATGGAGAATGTAAGTGCTGAGTGTGGCATTTGCAGCCCCAGTTACCCTGAGTGATGGGCACAGTTCTGGCCCTATTCGCTCTAGGGGGCTTCGGGAGGGCGGATGCACGCTGTGATTGAAGTGGTTTTTAAACTCTCTGTCTCTTGTCCTAATATCTCAGGGCTTCCAGCAGAAATTCTCCTTCCACAGTAAAGAGATTGTGGCTATCAGCTGTTCCTGGTGCAAGCAGGCGGTAAGTTTGGGATGAAAGAAAACAGAGTGGGCTCATGTTCTATCAAAATAGACATGTAATTGCTTGAATTCTTGTCTGTAAGTGGAAGGTTGTCCTAGTTTATGCATTGTTTCCCTTACATAGGATCGTTGGAGGAAGAAAGACAGATGACAGCTGTAGGATTATAGCGCATATGAGCTGGGAGAAGCTATAGAGATAGATTAACTCCTTCATTTATACACGCTGAAGCTTGAGGTCAGACTGGAAAATTCTCCCCTGGTTCTAATCCTGGGTCTAAAATCGAGGACTTCTTGCTCCTAGGGGGTATTTTTTCCCCCAATTGCTCTAGATTGTTGACAACTCCTCCTATGGTACAGGAAGTGGCAGCATTAGGAAGAAAGCAACATGCAACATCGCATAATCCGTTTAACTCAGGAATCCAGGCATCTTCTGTTTTTAATGTGGGTACCATTTTTATGGGGTTATGTTAGGATAAGAGTGGTCTTTTATCCTTTAAATTTGGTGGTTGTTATAGTGCCTGTATGCTCATCAAAATGTAATCTTCCTTATATTTGAACATATATATTCATTAGAATCCAATAGTAATTTCTCTGTTTACTTTTCCTCTTTTTTATGTATCCTTTTTTCATTTTTAACATCTCTCTCCGAACATGGTTCATTTTCTTGTTTGCCTATGTACCTATTCTTTCTTTAACCAGATAGTGTATATTCTACCTCATGGGCTGGCAAACTATGACCTATAGGCCAACTCTGACTGCTGCCTGTTTTTGTAAATAAAGCTTTATTGGAACACAGCCATGCTCATCCACTTATGTATTGTCTGTGGCTGATTTGCATTTATGTATTATCTATAGCTACTTTAATGCCACAATGACAGAATTGAATAGCCGCAACAGAGACACTATGGCTCTGTAACACTAAAATATTTACCATCTGGTCCTTTTATAGGAAAAGCTTGTGGACCTCTGTTTTCAGCTCTCAATTCACCTACTCTTTTGAATGACTATAAAATTGGGATATGTAATCCCCTCATTGCATAGCCAACCTGAAAAGAAAGAAGCTAGTTTTAGCTAGGTTAAGGGACACTTCAGCCCTCTACACACGTCAGATTTAACTGTGAGGCAGGAGCAGATATATGTAGTTGAAACACATGAAACTGACATTTTTGTGGGTCAAAACTTTTGAATTTTGGCACTTCTGTAAAGTTCAACCTAATAATCTCTCGAGCATCATTTCCCTAGGCCCCTACAAGTCAGGATAACCTATCGTCCCTACATAGGGATGCGTTGGTCTGGAAAGCTCAGTGCTTGCTGTGACACTATTCTGCCACATTTTGTATTCTTGGCATTTCCATCTCCTTCCAGTTAATTGTTACACAAATAGTCTCCGTGCTCTTGTCCAAGGACATATTCACAAATGTAAGGCCATCCTAGTCCTTGAATGAATCTATGCCATCAAGGCAATATCTCCACCTGGAGAGGAAGGAGCAGATTCAGGGCCCAGGCGTCCCCAATAATATCTACGATTCTGGTTTCCCTGATGTGCAGAGACCTCACTTGTGAGGCAGCATCAGTGGTGGCAGTGGGCTCATCTGCTCCCCCATAGGAGCTACCAGGCTGTGGACAGATGGTTTATCTAGGGTCAGTTAATCTGGGAACTTAGACCTACTGTACAGTGAATGTGTGCACTTCAATCTATAGTCTAGTTGAGTCACTGCAAAGGCAACTTTCACTTGACCCTTGTGATGGAGCTTTGGTCAATACCACATGTCTTCGAGTTTCCCAGGGTCCCACATATAGAAGGTGATCTTGCGAGGTCTAAAAATACAAAACATTTTAAGACAAATTACAGTGGTGGTATATTTTAACACTGCAAGTAATCCCTTCTAAGACATCTGATGTCAAACAAACAAATAAATACCTTCTATGGGCACTTTCTGCAGTGGAAAAAAAAATCAACTGGTTTAGGGAGCTGGGTTTCCTGGATTCATGTCCTGACTCCACCACTGAAAAGTCATGCAGTTTTGGACATTACCTCTTAGTCTCTCTATATTGGCTATTACTCAGGCATAAATTGAGAGAGTTGACGTAGGCAGACTCTGAGATCTCTCCCATTTTAGAAATGCAGTGGCCATTTATTTTGTGGTTTCTTTGAATTTTTAAGAGAAAGTCCCTTTTCTTTCTTAAATTTTATTTTGAAAGAATTTTATATTTATAGAAAGTTTCAAAAATAGTACAGAGTATGAATGTGTACCCTTCCACGCAGCTTCCCTTAGCTTTCTCTAATTTTGACAGCTTACGTAACCATAGTACAATGAATAAAACCAAGATGTTAATACTGATATATTAGTATTAACTAAACTACAGATTTTTAAGACATTAGCCAGTTTTTTCTTGAACGCCTCTTTTTCATTCCAGGATCTAATATCCTTTTAGTTGTGTCTCCTCGGTGTCCTCCAAGGCTTGACTTTCCTCATTTTTTATCTGTCGTCACCTTGACACTTGCGATGAGTACTGACTGGTTCTCATGTAGCAGGTCTCCCAGATTGAGTCTGCCTGATGTTTTCTCATGATTAGATTGAAATTACTCGTTTTAGGCAAGATACTCCAGAAGTGATGTGGCAGCCTCGTTACATACTTCTCCTGGGGTACCTGATGTCGATATTTTATTGCTGGTGACATTAACCTTAATCGCTTGATTAAGGTGGTATTTGCAGTGTCTTCCTCATAAAGTTACTAGGTTCCCCTTTCCAATGGATGAGTATTTGAGGAAATATTTTGAGATTACGCCGATATATTTCTCAAACTTTTACCTACGGATTTTAGCATTCATTAGTGAATTTCTTTTTACAATTTATTTAACTTTTTTAATTTTTAAGATTAATAAACTTTATTTTTCGGAGCAGTTTTAGGTTCACAGCAAAATTCAATAGGCAGTAGGGAGATTTCCCACCATTCCTTGTTTTTACACAATCACACGCTCCCCCACTATCAACATCCCACAAGAAAATCACTTTTTAAAGAACATTTCTCTGGTATATCAAATTGTTTGCAGATCACAAATAACTGGTATTTGGGGAATTATTGTTTTATGAAGTTGTATTTCATAATTAACCGACTTAGTAATTAGCCACTGGATCATGTCAGATCTTGAAGATACGCGAAAATGAAGACAAACTTCCCTCATGTGATGTAATTGGGGTGGCCATCTTTGCCAGTTTTCCTGAGACAGTCCTAATTTATATCTTTTGATCCAACATAATTATTAACAGTGCTCCCTTTCACTTTTAAATTTCTTCCAGTTAAGATGATAAATTATGTGGTCACATTAAGTACAATCCAAGTAGAAACTGATGTTAAATCTTTAAAAATCACTATGATTAAATCTTTAAGACTTGTAATTATTGGATAATGTGGATTTCATGTTTATTAGAAAAGAAATATTACCACATATCATTATCGGTTTACCGCCACCCAGAAGATGATTGAAAATGTGATTGGCTTAAGGTCTCTCAGTCCACTGGGTATGGAGTTAAGCCTCAGTACTGAGGTATTGTTATGATCATTAGTCTGTATTTACTGCCTTCCTTTTAAAAACAAAAAGGACTTTAGACTAACCAATCGTAATAGGGGCATTATATCTTTTAGTCCCTCGACTAACACAGAAGAAGCAATCTTTGTTCTTGGATTGACAACTCTCTAGAAGAGACTTCTTGCTTCTTCCCCGGGTCCCCTAAACCTGGGAAGGATTTACATCCAGGGGTATAGAATGGACAGGTGGGTGGTAGGACCCTGGCTCTCTGCTCATCTTCACTTCCCCCTAAACGTTATCCCAAGTCGCCCAAGCCTGTGGCCAGTGAGAGTCAAGTGACACAAGTATGTGCAAAGTTGAGATTAATTCTAATATCTTTAGGTAAATGTCCTTTTAAAAGGTTATAAAGTTTAGGCTGACCTTGTTCTGCAAGATTGATTTCTAGTTATCAATTCATAAAGTGGAATGGATTGGAAATCTGGTCTCTGAGCTGCTAGGCTGGTTGGGCAGTGATAAGGAGTGTGCGTCTTCTGTGTGTGTGTGCACGCCTGTGTGGGTACGTGTGCCTGCGTATGTGCCTGCATGTATGTGCATGAGTGTGTGCCTGTGTGTGCGTATGCCTGTGTGTGTGCGAGTGTGTGCTTGTGCATGTGCAAGTGCCTGCGTGTGTGCCTGAATGTGTGTGCCTGCATGTGCGTGCATGAGTGTGTGCTTGTATGTGTGCATGTGTGCGCGCATGTGTGTGCCTGCGTGCACATATGTGTGCATGTGTATGCATGTGTGTGCATGTGTGCCTGCGTGTGTGCATGTGTGTATGCAAGTGCCTGTGCATGTGTGTGTGTATGTGCTTGAGTGTGCATGCATGAGCGTGTGCACAGGGACTTATTCCTTCTCAGCGCAGCATTGCCCTTTGCTCAGAATTGTTTATTGGCCTGTTTTTCTCTTCAGTTTCACAATAAGGTGACTTGCTTCATGCTGCATCACATCGAGGAACCCTGCTCCCTGGGGGCTCACGCGGCTGTCATTGTGCCACCCACCTGGATCATTAAGGTGAAGAAACCTCAGGTAACTGCTGGGACCCTGGTGCTCTTGGGACAGTGCAGAGGCCAAGTACCTGCTGCTTCTGGCTTTTCTCCCCCTGACCAGTCTCGGGGTTCCTCCGATCTCCGCTCTCGTCCCCACGGTCCCGTGCTTACCTTCCCCGGTCCATCCCATCAGCCCATCAGCCCATCACTTTACTGCGTTGGGCTCTCT